CTGACAGAGACTGGAGAAACCCCAAGAGTATGGCTCCTGGACACACTTTTAGCTCAGTAATGAAGTCACTCCTGAGGTTCACCCTTCAGCGAAAGATTAGACAGGCCCATAAAACAAAACGAGACTAAATGGGCACACCAGCCCAGGGGCAACGACTAGAAGGCAGAAGGGGACAGGAAAGCTGGTAACAGGGAACTGAATGTTGAGAAGGGGAGAGTGTTGACAAGTCGTTGGGTTGGCAACCAGTGTCCCAAAACAATATGTGCACTGTTTAGTGAGAAGCTAGTTTGTTCTGTAAACCTTCATCTAAGGTACAATAAAAAAAATATATATATTAACAGTACAGTCATTTGATTTCAATTTAAGTTTTTTCTTTCATTTTGAGAAATAATTCTATCATCGATGTCATCATTAGAAAAGAGATTATTTCCTGAATTTCTTTAATTTGTTACACTTTCATTATTGCTCCTTTTCAGATTTACTATCATTTCCCAAATGCTTTTTAAATGTAAAATGGCCTTGACCTTAAGTTCAGAACTGATTAGAATTTGATAACAAGAATCTTGATAATCTGCTCCTAATACGCTGTCATTTTCAATGATAACCTTTTCCCTGACATTAAATTTGTCAATGTATTTACAAATGTATTATTAGGAGTTCTTAGTTTTAGCTTAGTTCCCACCCACGTAACAAAAACTTCACTCTCGGTTAATTGTTCACTTTGCAGTCTTACCATAACTTTCTTCAAAGGTTTTAAAATTTCCTAAATTAATTTGGCATATGCCCACTTGTCATTAGAAAAGTAATACTCCATGTTATTATCAGCTAACACTGTGCAGAATAAGGAAGACTGAAGAAGAATTGATGCCTTTGAATTGTGGCATTGGAGAAGAATATTGAATATATCATGGACTGCCAAAAGAACGAACAAATTTGTCTTGGAAGAAGTACGAACAGAATGCTCCTTAGAAGCAAGGATGGTGAGACTATGTCTCACATACCTTGGGCATGTTATCAGGAGGGACTAGTCCCTGGAGAAGGATATCATGCTTGGTAAAGTAGAAGGTAAGCAAAAAAGAGGAAGAACATCAACAAGATGGCTTGACACAGTGGCTGCAACAATGGGCTCAAGCATAAGAACAATTGTGGGGATGGTACAGGACTGGGCAGGGTTTCATTCTGCTATACATAGGGTTGCTATGAGTCGGAACTGACTCGACAGCACCTAACAACAATATATCACAGAAAGTTTTGCATCCTAGTAAGATTTCTAACATGGTGTACATACTGTTCCATCTTGTTGGGTGATCCAGTAACGGTTTCCATAAATTATCTTCTGAAAATTTGGTAAACAAGTGTCAGAATATGAATCAATCAAAGCATTCACAGCATTCTCCTAAAAATTCTTCCAGTTCAACATCTTTTATTGTGTATTTAATAACTTATTGAAGTGTGTGTGCATCACGCTTTCTACCACAATACCATACTATAATCTTTTCTTATAAACCTTGTCGCGTTCACTGCACTCTGCAATGGTTATTGTCTGCAAGTCAGAGTGCACAGAGTCAGAGTCTTTGAAATTGTCTTTTTTGCCCTGACATTTGCCATTTGATTTAACTATCATTTCTGAGTAAATCATCAAATTTAATCATATTAGAGCTATTACCCGTGGTTACAGAATATGTCGTAAATCAATGTGCTTCTCTAAAATTCGATACACAGTGTTTTATGCACAGAGCTGTGTGTCTTTCTTTTAATTCTTTCTTTCCCAGTGTCAACAGATGTATCTTACTGTCTTGTGCAAACTAAGCATTAATTCCTAGAACTGATCGACTCAATCTACCAGCAACATCCACTTTCAAAGAAAATGTTCATTTTTCTAGATCACTACTAATTTGGGGTTTGCTGATTTATTCCATTCGAAGTCCCACTTTACAACGTTCTCATACATTTATTCGGCACCTTTTGAAGAAAAATCTCAATTCATAGTGATGCCATCAAATTGTTTTCAGTGAAACAATGGCACATCACTATTGAAACATTAATTTTCTTCTCACCAGTTACTGATGCTTGTTAACATTTCGATTTGTGCTATAAATACCAAATTTAAACATATAAGTACAAAGACTGTGTGATAGTACATTTAAATTAAAATTGAATACAAGAATGGAATCATCAAAAAATTATAAACTATTTTTTCTTTTTTTTAATTGTACTTTAGATGAAGGTTTACAGAACAAACTAGCTTCTAATTAAACAGTACACATACTGTTTTGTGACATTGGTTAACAACCCCATGACACGTCAACACTCTCACTTCTCGACCTTGGGTTCCCTATTACCAGCTTTCCTGTCCCCTCCTGCCTTCTAGTCCTTGTCCCTGGACTGTTGTGCCCCATTAGTCTCGTGTTTTGTGGGGCTGTCTAATCTTTGGCTGAATGGGGAACCTCAGGAGTGACTTCATTACTGAGCTAAAAGGGTATCCGGGGACCATACTCTCAGGCTTTCTCCTGTCTCTGCCAGGCCAGTAAGCCTGGTCTTCTTTTGTGAGTTAGAATTTTGTTCTACATTTTTCTCCAGCTCTGTCCAGGACCCTCTACTGTGATCCCTGTCAGAGCAGTCAGTGGTGGTATTTTTTATTTCTTGAATTTAAATATCACACTTAAAAAATGTGAATAATGTATATTTAAAATATTTACACTTACTTGGCAAACTTCCGTTCACATGAAACTCTGTTCAGAACTCGATGCAGTTTAACCAGCTCCTTCAGATATCTAACTCCAAGTGTTCTCAATTGCTGAGTGTTTCTCACATCCTTGGCAGACACAGCTCGCATTGCTGTGAGAGACGTCAAACACAGAGTGGAAATTGTGAACTGTGACTGTCCTGTGAATCGTGCCTCACGTAGCAGCAGTCATCTCCTGTAGCTGCAACTTCACAATGTTGGTTGCTGAAGCAATGAACTGTGCCCTTACCAGCCATGTGCCAGAGAAGCATTTGGCATACATAGGTACCAGATGCAAGTCAAACTTAAATGGCCCAATGGTCTTGCTTACAACTTAAAAATTATCATTGAACCAAAAATGGTGGAGCTAAAAAAATAACAGTTTTTTATTTCTGTTCAGATTCAGAAAAAATTTTTTTTTTTAATTTGGGTTTTGGTTTCACTCTGGAGAAAATTTTGGGTTTGTTATGATCTCGGGGAACATCTAGCTCAATTGGCATAACATAGTTTATAAAGAAAATGTTCTACATTCTAGAAGAAAACCAAAGACACAAGGGAAGGATGAGTCCAAAGGACTG